CTAGACGTGGCGACAGGAGCGACGTGGCACTTCCTTCCCTCGCGACGGGCACAGACGCTGAGTGTGACATGATTAATCACTACTCTCACTTCTGAGTGACAGGCTTTTCTGCAGGAGGAAAAGGGGCCTTGAGACAATCTGTCCCAACAGCTCAGCGATATGCTGATATTTCCTTCCGGGGAGAGAGGAGCCGCGTTCCCATCCATGCTCGTCGGCAGTGGCTGCCGTGAGCCCCGACGTGCAAGGGAGTGAAGGGCCAGAGCTGCGTGGCTGTCCAAGCCCGGGGGGTTGCCAGGAGGAGGTGCTTCTGAGGTGGCTGGGACGCCCGCAACTGTTTCTGCACCCCTCGGCACTCCTCAAATGTCTTCTCTTCAGGAAAGTTGCCCTGAAGAAGAGGCTTTTGTTCTGCTCTGAGGCTCTTCCAGACCAGGGGGGTGGTCTGTGCCTCCCGGAAGCCAGCGTTGCTTCCGTGATGGTTCTCGGGGCCCCTCGTCCCCACACAGACCCAGAGCCACCAGGGTGAGTCCATTAAAATCCAGCTCCAACCCCCCTTGGTCTACTGTCCTGCTGATGGTCAGTGGCGGGGTAGATCAGATGCCCAACATCAGCTACAAGTTTATGATGGGCCCTGGGTGAGAACATGGCGCCTCACGGCTCTGAATTGTTTCTTTTCTCGTTCTATGTCTTTACCAGAACGAGATTCATAGATTCTCGATCGAGCTCAGGGTGCAGAGGGGAAGCATTCCTGGGCTGCTCTGGAGGCACTGCCCTCCCGCTCTGGACAGGCGCCCACTGTGTCGTCCTGTGTCCGCCTCTGCTCCTCGTCCCCAACGCCCTCCTGGAAGGCATAACATAGGACCACAGCTTTGCCAACCTGGTGACACGCAGACACTTCCGGGCCAGCCATGAAGCTGCAGAAGCTCCAGGCCCAAGTCCAGCTGCCAGGCTCCAGGGCGGGCCCGTAGCAGGTAGGCGCCTCCAAGCCTGTGGCGCCTGCTCCATGAGAGAGGGCAGGGTGCGGGCAGACGCGCACTCAGGTGCCTGTGGGCAGGAGGCCCCAGGGCAGAGTCGAGCAGCGGGAACAGGAACCGGTCCCGTGCCCCCACACCTGCCCCGGGACCAGAGAAGGGCCTGGACGCGTGGGGCCAGCAGAGCAAAGGAGGAAGTGGCCTGCTGGGTGCCGCCATGGATTCTGGGGGGTTCTGGGGACAGGGGTGCTGCAGGAGAAGGTTTCACCCCTGTGGGGAAGCAGGGCACCTCCACTGAGTGGAACCTGCCTGCAGGGGCTTCTCCTGATCCCATCACCACCTCACTGGCAGATCTGCTGCCCGCGTACCCTACACACACACCCAGAACAGAGAAGCCTGTGCAGGCCTGTCCCCCACCCCCTACAGCCACCCCTCAGAACAGAGCAGCTTTGCACGGCCTGCTAGGCTTCAGGCTGGCTGGGCCTGACCCTACACATCACACACCCGGGGGACAATATGTATCACCAGGACGCAGCAGACACCCTAAGAAGTACCACAGAAGCGGGTATGGTGCCCGCAGGTCAATCTTTACCTGTGAGGCAAGTGCTTCAGCAACCTGATGGCACTGTAAGACTTTCAGATACCCCAAAATTGCTGCTGTGCCTTTGGCCAGACCCCAAAAGCTTGCGTCAAAGTTTACCAAGAAAGTAAACAGCCAAAAGTTAGGTATGTGGGAGACACACCCACAAACCACCTCCGGTTCGGCTATATAATTGGAGGCATGGCCTCTCTGGTTCCTGATAGAACTGCTTAACGGCCATGATCCCAGAGACTCAGAAATGAATCTCGGAACCCAAAGGTTTTTGGCAGAAATGCATCCTGTTCCTCCAGTAGGTTACTGGCGCTGGGCCACTCCAGGTGGTAATAGGTTTCATGCCTTGGCCTGTTCCCCCTGGTGGCCCGGTGACCGTCATCCTCCAGAGGCCACTGGACAGTCAGGTTTGGGCCTGCAGTGATGAGACGTGCAGGGCCTCACCAGATGGGGGTGGAACCGGCCCTTTCCTCCCCATCCCAACGAGACCCCAAGTCGCCGCCTACAAACGGCCTCTCTGGCTCCTGATCAAGCTGATTAATGGCCATGATCCCAGAGACTCAGAAACCAATCTCGAAACCCAGCAGCTTTTGGCAGAAATGCATCTGGACCACATGCAAGGTGGTCGCTGCCTCAGAGCTTATTGGAAAGCCAGATATGAGCCGGCAGTGACAGGACAACTGCAGTCTCATGGGAAGGGGGGCAGTACCGGCTCGTCCTTCATGCCTTACCGAGGTCACAAGTTGCCCCCACAAGCGGCTCTCTGGCACAGCCATGGCTCCAGAGGCAAAAGGACTTAATCTGGAGCCCGGCAGCCTCAGAGCTTATAGGAAAGCCAGGTATGAGCCGGCAGTGACGGGGCAACTGCAGTCTCACGGGAAGGGGGATGGTACCAGCTCATCCTTCACACCCTACCGAGGTCACGAGTTGCCCCCCACGAGTGGCTCTCCGGCACGGCCATGGCTTCTGAGGCAAAAGGACTTAATCCAAAGCCTGGCAGCTTGCGGCAGAAAAGCGAACGGACCATGCGTTAAACTACGGTGCCATGCCTCCCCGGGAGGGAAAGGGTGTTGCTCCCTTCTGCCTCCCCCCACCCCCGCCAGCAGCAAGGTGGCCACTGCCTCAGAGCTTATAGGAAAGCCAGGTATGAGCCAGCGGTGACGGGGCAACTGCAGTCCCATGGGAAGGGGGGTGGTACTGGCTCATCCTTCACGCTCTACCGAAGTCACGAGTTGCCCCCAACAAGCGGCTCTCTGGCACGGCCATAACACCAAACGCACAGAAACCAATTTCATAATTATCTGGCTCCTTGCGGAAATCCAAAATCACGCAGATGCTATTGTGGCCGCACAATATTATATGATTCTCATAACTAGCTATAGAAAACAAAGTATTTCACAATGTCTTTTCAGCAATTCTGACTGTTGGGGGGGGAATTCTAAACAATAATGGTGCATCTTTTGTCACAATAATGAATGTAATCAATGTAGAGAAGAGTTAAGTAGAAATCATTTGCCTCACAGGCATTGGGAGGGGTGGGAGGCGGGTATATTGGGGTTCTTGGTGGTGAAAAATGAGTACTGGTGAAGGGAAAGGTGTTTGATCATTGTTATGACCGAGACTTAAACCTGAAAGCTTAGTAACTTTTCCCAAAATGATTCAATAAATAAACATAAGAAAAAAATAAATTAAATTATGAAAAAAAAGAAAGGTGGAGTTCATGCCAATTCAATCAGCTAATCAGTGGCTGAATAAATAGCAGTCCTCCTACATAAAAGAAAGAAGTACCACAGAGCTGGGTCCCACGGGAAGCAGGGCTGCATGTGTGCATGCGTGTGTGTACACGCGGGACTGCATGTGTATGTATTCGTGTTTGTGCTTACATGTGTGCCTATGTGTGTCTGCATGTGTGTCTGCTTATGTGTGCATGCATACATGTGTGCCTGTGTACATGTATGCATGTGTGCGTACATGTGTGCAACATGTATGTGTGCATACATGTGTACATGTGTGCCTGCAAGTGTATGTGTGTGCATACGTGTGTGTGCACTTGCACGTGTATGTGTGTGCCTCTGTGTGTGCCTAAGAGGGCAGGCGAGGGGCACAGCACTGGAGCCCTGGGAGGAGGCCCAGGGCAGCAGCGGGGAGATGCCCCCCAACACCCCTGATCAAGTAGCGGCCACTTCCTGCCAGGCCAGCACTGGTGTGGGGAGGGCAAGAACAGAGCAGGCAGGGCCCATGGGCTCTGGGCACACAGCCACCCCCAGGTAGGTGGCAGCCCCCTTCACAGACAAAGAAACTGGGGTTAAGGCTGCGCCCAAGCCCCAGCTGGTATACAGCAAGTGCCTGGATAGCAGCGCCCACCTCGGCACCCTCCCCCTGCCAGGCACAGTGCGAGGCGCATGGGGCTGGGATTCTGCTGCGGAACACCCAGAGGGTGAGTGACGCTGAGTGGGGCGGAAGGTCCCCAGAGCCAGCCCTGGTTTGCACCAAGCACCCCAAGCTTCCACCAGCTGTCAGGGCAGGGGGCTCCTCGGGACGGCTTCAGGAGGGTGGGAACATGGGGGGCTCTCCTGGATGGAGCCCGAAACGGTGCTGACCCTCCACACTATGTGCCTGATATGGGACTGACCGCCACAGCTGACCGGCCTGGGGTCTTGTTTCAACCCAGTTCATAGTCACGGCCCATGGAAAGACAAACGGGAGACGTGCAAGTGAGCAAACACCCAGAGTCCCAGTGGGGAAGGGCCCAGGGGGAGCCCTAAGGCCAGCATGGGCGGGACTCTCCATCACAGAGCTCAGGATGCCAGACCGCCAGACCGCCAGAGAGACAAGCGTGCCCAGGGCACTTAGACCACTGCCTTGAGGATTTCTGGCTGGTTTTGACTCTGAACTGTCTGAAGATCTCAGCAGAGTTCAGAAGGAAAGAAAATGTGCCAGATTTGTAGGATCAAGTGGACTCGGCGGGGATGCAGGCACCCCGGTCACTGAGCTACAGGGCACACGGGGCCCGGCTTCTACTCAACGAGTTCAGCCTGCCCCGCCCGCGGTGTGAGCAGTGACGGGACCAAGCACCAGGCCCCACACGCGCACCTTGGAGCAGGGCCCTCCACTGACTCTTCTGCGTTCCCAGAGAGTGGCACCCTGCAGGAGACCCTCGCCTCCTCCTTCCAGAGCCAGCGTGCCCTCGGTCTCAGACAGAGCTGGAAAGAGTAGCCCCCCACTAACTAGCCAAGTACGGCAGAGCCATCGATACGACACCTGTGCCCGGCTGCAGCTGCGTCCATTAGGAGAGAGACACCGAGTCTGCACCCCAGGCCCATGACAAGTGCTGGGTCAGGAGCTTGGAGACGACGTGGCCGGGAAGTGGCCTTGCCCGATGCCTCCGCTAACAGCCGCAGCTACCGAGGAGCGGGGAGGATGGGGGAGCCTTCTCTTACCTTCTCCCCTGCTTGGCTTTCCAGTTCTTTCAAAGTCCGACTGCAGTTCCTATCGCCTTCACCCCTTAAAAATGAAAACAAAAGCCTGGTGTCAGCAAGATCTGAGGAGGCCGGTGACCCCTGCCCTGGGCCCATCAGGGTGTCTAAGGCAGGGCCTGCCCACCAGGTGGAGCTTGGCCAGTGACGCAGTGGCCCTGGCCTGGCTTTCCTTGGCCGTGGAATGAGCTGGAGCCACACTCACCCCTGCAGGGAAGGGTGGAACGTGAGGGGTGAGCGCGTGAGCGCTATTCAGCCGACCTGGCGTTTCTTCAAGCGAGCGAGCGTCAGAGGCACCAGGCCAGCCACAGAGCAGGGGGAGTGGGCTGGGGGAGCCTCAGGCCCAGGGTCTGGGAGTGGGGGCACGTCACGCCCAGGGCCGTTGCCACTCCCTTGGTGTCTGCTCACGGCCTTGATCCCCCATCTCCTGGGTTGTGTCCCCGCAGGCGCAGCCTTCTCTGCTCCACTCGTCTCGTGCCCTCTGAGCTGCCTGCACTCCCTGACCCTCTTCTCTGCTGTGTTTGACACCTGGCCTTCACCCGCCCTCAGGATGCAGGACTTGTGCTCTGTGTCCGGTCAAGAGCTCAGGGGGCTGCCTCGGGGCCTGTGCAGGCCTCTCAGGAACGGCCCTTCGTCTCTTCAAACACACGGGCCGTTCACTCCGCACTGGATGGGCCGAGAGGTCCTGCTGGACACCATCCTCACGCTTTAGTCTCTTCACATGCTTTCCAGACTGTTCTGGTGGGATTCCTTCAGGGGCCAGGCTAAGACGCATTTCTCCGCAGATGGGCACACCCAGCGCCAGTGTCAGTCAGTGCCTCACCTTTCTGACCAGGCACAGACCTACATGGAAATGAGCAGCTGGCCCCCTGCTGCTCCGCCTCAGGAGTGCCTTGCTGGACCATCTTCCGGGCAGGTTTCTAGCTGGCCCGCAGCATCCCGACTGACTCCGGGTGGCTGCTCCATGGCACAGCTCCCCCACCGTAGGAGACCCCCGAGATCTCTTTCCCTTCGTGCCAGGAAGCTGACACAGCACATAGGTTCATCTGGGTTCCTGGAATACCCGTGCCCTGGTCCCCAACATCCACATCTGGTCTCTAAGACTCTTTCTGCCAACTCAGTAGCGGACTAAGATACCGGTGGGCCGTCTGTCCTTCGGTAGCACCTTCCTCTTTCTCCGGGAACGCGCTAGTTGTTCGTGCCACAGCCGCCCACATTGCCAGAGCGAGAAGGCGCTTTTCAAGAGAGGATTCAGCTTGGCTAGGACCGGCAGAAATCTTTCAAAGTCAGCTTCAAAATGCAGCCTTCAGGCCAGAGTACAGAAGGAGAGCATTTGCCTTGCACACGGCCAACCGAAGTTTAATCCCCAGCACCACATTCAGTTCCCTGAGCTCCACCAGGAGCAATTCCTGAGTAAAGTGTCAGGCATGACCCCTGAGCATTGCCAGGTATTGCCCCAAAACAGAACCAAACAGCGTAGCCTTCTCTGATCACTCTCCATTCTCCGTTAAACTACTAGACCGAGGCCTCCCTTTCTCTTAACCATTTGGGAAAAAAAAAAAAAACTTCCCTGCTTTGTTTCTCCAGGGCATTAGCTTGGTCAATAAGTAACATCCAACTTAGGGTGCTGCTCGCCCAGAACCCCGAGGTGCCTCTGGTCCCTGGAAACAATCTCAGACCCTTCCTTGCTCGTGGAGCTGGATGAGAGCAGTGCGGGCAGACTCTCAAATACAGACCAAGAACTTCGCTGGGCATCTGTGTTTCAAATTTAAGCAAGACCCATGCCGTTAACATCAAGCTAGACCATCTCGCCACTGCCAACGGCCAATGCCCCACAGCGCCAAGGGGGCGGCCGGGCTTCTCCCCTCCCCAGAAGGCAACCCCTCCAGTCCCCAGGATGGATCCAATCAGGAACGCTGTGCTGCCAAAACCCACCCATATTTCAGAAGCAATTTCATTTTTATCAGAGCTCTGGGTGACTGCTGAGAAAATGGTGTTTATACTTCCAGAGCCGGATAATCAAGTGAGTAATTTTTTTACTAAAACAATATTTCCTGAATCATACACTAGAATCTAAGACTTTCCAGCTAATCGACAGATTAAAGTTCACGCTTTAACAAGCTGATTCTGCAGACAAAGCAGCAGACGGGCCCACGCCCGTGCCGAGACAGGAGACGCGGGGACGCGCCCAGAACACTTCCTTGGGTTTTTCCTTCCCTGCCGCCCAGTGCGCCCGCTCCTGAAAGGATTTTAAATTGCGCAAAAATGAAGACAGTTCACATTTGATGCCTTAATATTTTTACTTCAAAATGAAAATTCATTCTTTCCTGGTCTGAAATGTACTGCGTGTAGAGCAGATTTGTCTGGTTTTAATTCACCACATTTCCATTTGAACACAGCCTCATTTTCCTCCTGAAATGCAGCCCACAGAGCTGTCTGAATGTCCTAGAAGCCCAATTTCTAGTGGGGGCTAGTTCCAATGAGGGCACCTGGTCTGGGAACAAGACCCCCCGCCAACATCTACCAGAAAAACCTGCTGTTGAGGACAAATCCAGAGGGCTGACACCTCCTCTCAGCACCTAACACTCACCTCTTGAGGACATTCACCTGGAGGTCGAGTCCGCCAAACCTGGACAGGAAGTCAAGGTACCGAACGGTCCTGGAGCTAGTGAGAGGCATCTGCACTCAAAGGAGACAGCAGGCCATTAGGAACAGCCGTGCTCGGAATCTGAGCATCAGGCCTTCCTGGGGGCATCTGCAGGAGGGCACAGCACTAGACTGGGGAGTCTGAATGGACCCCCGTCCTTGGCAAACCAAGCGCCAGCAGCAGGAATGCAGAAGGCCTATCTGTGCCCAGTTAAAAGCCAACAAGGCAGAGGCCACAGACAGTGGGTAGGGCGCTGGCTTTGCATGTGGCTGACCCAGGTTCACCCCCTGGCACCCCATATGGTCCCCTGTGCCCTGCCAGGAGTGATCCCTGAGCACAGAGTCAGGAGTAAGCCCTGAGCACTGCTGGGTGTTGGCCCCAAAACAAAAGAGGCAACGAGGCAGCAACCAAGTGCCCTACACTCGGGGATTCATGTAGAACTGAAGGTGTAGAAGGGTCTGATCATGCAGAGACAAGCTGTCACAGAAAGAGAAACAGCCAAGGTTCACGTCCTCTGGTGCTGAGGGTCAAGGAACACCCCGTGTGTTCAGATATTTGCAAGGAAGAAGTCACTTTCAAGTCTAAAAGCCAGCAAAGGGCCCCACTGAGCCAAGCTGCACCCGATCAACTGTCCTTACATGAAAGCTGCATCGCACAAAAGCGCTCGCTAGAGGGAAGGGACCACTGCCTCCCCACGGGCTCAGAAAGAGGCCACATGCACTGTCAACGGTGTCTCCTCATGCACGCACACTCACACCCACACCCACACTCACACACACTCACATACACACAACACACACTCACATATACACACACTCACACATACTCACATGCACTCACACATACACTCACACACATATACACTCACACTCCACACATACATACTCACACTCACATACACACATATACACTCACACACTCATATACACACTCACAAATGCACACATACATACACTCACACATACACATATACATACTCATGCTCACATACATATACACTCATACACACATATACACACACTTACATACTCATATACTCACATGTTCACACATTCATTCACAAATATACGTACTTACACACTCACACTCATACTCATACACTCATACACACTCACATACACACATACACACATATACACTCAGACACACAAATACACACATTCAAGTGCACTCACACAATTACACACTCACCTACACACATCCAAGCATACTCATACAATCACACACTCCATACAAACATATACATAGACATACATATACACTCACACATATGCACACATTCGAGCATACTCACACACTCACATACACATAGTACACACTCATCCAGACACAAAGATCGTGGGAGAAACTGAGGCGCTCAATGTCGATCACAGGCAAGTCTGGGCGAAGGGGACATGGTCATAGCATGTACTGTGATGGCCACTGCATGTACTGTGTGGGGGCCATGATTTCTAGTCTGTGGGGTACCCACTAGCGATACTCAGGGCTCACTCCTAAATCTGCATTCAGGGATCGCTCCCCATGGGCTCAGGGGATCATATGGGATGCCGGGGATCGAACCAAGTCAGCCGCAAGCAAGGCAAGTGCCCTCCCCACTGTCCCATCACTTCAGCCCCAAATCTTACCCTTTTTGGGGGGAGAGGTCACACCTGGCAATGCTCAGGGGTCACTCCTGACTTTGCACTCAGGCATGACTCCTGGTGGTGCTCAGGGGACCCCACAGGATGCTGGGACTCGAACCAGGGTCGACTGCTTGCAAGGCAAACGCCCTCCCTGCGGTCCCATCGCTCAGCCCCTTACCCTTTTTTCCCTTTGCATTTCTGGCCTCTTCGTCAGTACTCAGCAGACCATCTGGTGCTGGAGTGCAAACCCAGGCCTCCCACATGCAAAGCATATGCTCACCAAGCCGTCTCCTCAACCTGTCTTAATCTCATCAAGCTTCTGAAGATCTGAAATGACTTCTGACTGGAAAGCTAACCATTTTCCCTGGTGCCCATATGGAGGTCTCAGGCTTAGAGGAGGTCGGCCCCATGTCCTGCGAGGGGGCCAGGCAGTGCCAGGGGGCCAGCTGGGAACCTCAGCCCCACCAGGCATGGACCCAACTGCTGATCACCTCCCCAGCTCCCAGATTTAAAACTGTAACGAAAATGATCATTTTGCCACAAAAGTACTACGGAACCAAAACTCAAACAAATGTTAAGTTTGAGTCGGTCAGTATCTAACCAGCATAAATATATTCTCCCGTTACGCGTCATGCGAATACTCCACGGACATTCCACACACAGCCACGGGGCCCCTCGTTCACCTATTCCAGCCTGACATTTCCGGAGCCCCGATCTCGGCCCTCAAACTTCTCCTTGTTGCTCAAAAATGCATACAACAGGGCGGGGAGATGGCTGGGGGGGGGGAGTGCAGGGGCCATACCTGGCATGCGCCAGGCCCCGGGTCTGACCCTCAGTTGTTCCAGAGCCCCCCACCTGGTATCACCAGGGTGCCCAGGCCCCACCCGGCATGCCGGGCCGCCTACCTGGGCCAGCACGTCCTGGAACTGCTCCCTGGTCAGCGGCAGCAGGAACGTGCTGATGACCCGCCGCAGCTCGCTCCTAGTCAAGGTCCCGCTGAGCGCCGGGTCCAGCAGCCGGAAGGCCCGGGTCAGCTCCTCCCGCTGGCTGGCGATCTTCTGCAGCAGGATCCGTTTGACATCCAGGAAGCTCAGCGTCGGGTCTGCGGCCGTCGGGGCTGTGAAGGCACACACGGCAGCGGCGAGTCCCTGGGTGGGGCGCCGGCTGACGCCAGCCTCCAGGAGACCCTCTGCCTCCGCATCCCTCACAGGGCCAGTGAACACAGCCGGCGCAAAAGAACGGCAGAAGAAGCGCGGGAAGGCAGGTCCAGCCGAGACAGGGCGCCCTCCCCTAACAGTCCCCGCCGCCACTCGGAACACGTCACCACGGGGCGAGCAGCTGGAGCAACCCAGGTCTCGGCACCCCACCCCCCACCACTGCCCCAGGGAAAACGCGGGCCACTGAGAAACCGAGCTGACCCATGAGGGCTGCTGGCGACAAAGCGCTGCCCCGGGGACTCACCGGAAGGAGGTCCGAGCGTGCTCTGCAGACCATCCTGGTGCGCACGGCCCAGGGAGGACCGGGAGCGCAGTGGCTCATATCTCCGCGCAGGAGGGCACGAGAAGGACCAGTTGGGCATGGTGGCTATTCTCTGCATTAAGTCACTGCACAGAGAAGGGCACAGACGCTGTCACCTTCAGAGCGTATGGCCAAGGTGGGCACAGCAGAGCCTGTCAACTTGCCAGCCACTAGACCCTGCCTGCCCGCACTCACGCACACACACACGCACACATGCCCCCCACACACACTCATGTACACCCACATGCACGCATACATACATGCACACATACCCACGTGCATGCATGCCCACACACACCAGCACACACGTACACCCACACATGCAATGCACACCTGCACACACACCCACACATGCACACCCATAGCACATACACACATGCACACACACCTGCCAGAATACACGCACGCAAGCATGCACACACACACACTTTGAAGACACGTCTCAAACAAAGCATGACACTCAGACCCATCACTCTAGGCTCCTCACCCGGTCCTTGGAGAGAAAACTTCTGGACACCCCTGGCCATGACTCATTTTTCAGAGGGGAAGGGGCCAGAGATGTGGGTTCTCTGCAGCCAGTCTGGAGCGCAGGCACCGAACACGGCAGCATCCCTGGGCCAGCAGGGGACTCAAAACCCCTCTCCAAAGAGCCAGTGGTCATAAGTGACTTCCTCAGAACCCCAGAAATCGGCTAAAGGGGTGCATTGTCCAGAGCTGCTTCAATCATGAAAGGGGGCAGATCTGGGTCCACACACCAACCTCGCCTTTGACACCCTCCCCCCCAATTCTTCCCATCCATACCCCTGCTCCACAGAGCCCCGCCCCAGGCCCCAGCAAAGGTGCAGACCCTCACACCCACAGTCAGGCATTTGTCCTCCGTGACCTCCTGATGTCGCCCGCCAAGACCTCCCAGCCACAGGCCGTCTTCATTCCAACCAAACTGCGATTCTCGGGGGTGCAGCTAACATGCCCCAAGTTCTAGAGCTGACAGAGCCGAGGGGGACGGGGCAGTGGCTGAGCGGGCAGCGGCCCAGGGATGCAGAGCTACGCGTGTCGAGGCCAGGAGCAAAAGGGTTTTCAGGGATTCAGGGACAGGGAGTCCAGAGAGCCCACGGGGGCCAGTCCGGGGGGGGGGGGGAGCAGCCCCACCCATGAGCACGGCGTTTAGCATCAGGGCCCACATCACGAACAGAAGGGCAGCCTGGCTCCCAGGAGGCAGCTGATGGGCGAGCACAGCGCTCAGCCAGGAACCATGTGGGGGGGGACGGAGAGACAGGTCAGCTTCAGAGCACAGGCGAGCCTCAGCTGACGCGGGGCCTGAGCAGAGAGGCAGGCGAAGGGCAGGCCATGGACCAGGAGCTGAACTGGAGCCAGGAAAGGCGCCCGTCCCTGGGGCCTACAGCTGCTCCGTGGGTCAGGAGGTGGACGCTGGCACCTAGGTCAGAGCCTAGCGCTGCACCCCCACCCGTGGACACACAGACACACGTGCTGCCCGGGGGTCCGACATCCAGGCACCCACTGCCCCAGCCAACCCTGGGGCCAGAGCGCGTCTTATGAGCACATGGGCAGAGGCCACGCAGAGGCAGCAAATAACTGCTTCCTCGCTCCATCCATAAACCCACTTCCTGATAACCAGACTCCTGCCTCACCACCCACCCGAGGCGCCAGATAATCGCCCGGAAATGCGCTGCCTGGTGTGTGCTTTATTACTGGAGTACAAAGTGGTCTGACTCAAGGAACGCTTTTGCTGAAGACAGCAAGAAAGAAGACTCAGCTGCACAGTCAAGCCCTACCCACCCCTCAGAGGGGACTGGGCCTCTTCCCACGGGGGCCACGCACACCCCCCACCCCACCCAGTGGGGACCAGCCTGTCCCTTGCCACTGCCCGGGCATCCTCTGCTCTTCTCCCTTCTCCAGGCTGCCAGACCACGAACACCAGGGAGGCACCACTTGCCACGCGCATGTCTGAGCACTGGCTACGAGGGACTTGGGGTGGGGCCCCCTGGGACGCTGCCCCAGAGCATCCAGAAGGGAAAGCGGGTCTGCTCTGCCGAGCCAAGCCCACTGCCCATCATGGGGCCACAAAGCTCTGCTTCGGGGGCTGAGAGGCCCCAGTTTGAGCCCTCCCTGCCCCTGACCCCTGTGGCTGCACGTGGCCCCAAAACAGAAAACAAAGATGACAATCTACTGGGTCCAGGAGCTCAGGACTTCGCCAGCACCTCAAGGCCACCCCGAGGCTGATGCAGACACGCACCGGTCACCAGATAGCTGTTCCCACAGCCCACAGTCCCCCTTTGCTGCCTCACAGGCACCCGCTGGAAGCCGGCCCGTCGCCGGCGCCCTGCGCGCCTGCGAGCAGACTGGGGTGTGGAGCACGTCCTATTTATAGAGTGGACCCGCCACGGTCCCCAGCTGCCGGCTAGGCGCACAGGCTACCCGCTGCTGCCCCCTACAGGCCAGCAGGGGACCCTGCATGGGGGAAGCCAGACAGGCAGCCTGGCCCGGCCTGCAGCCAGCTAGGGCTCCCAGAGTCTGCAGACTCCCCAAGCTGAATGCCCCTTGCTGGCTGTGGGAGTGACCCCCGCAGAGCAGACAGCTGGGCCCTGTCCACCCTGGGCCGCTCACCTGGCCTTGGTGGTGCTGGCTTTGATGCTGTTGTTGGCAGTCATGTTATTCTGGTTCATGGTCTTCGAGATCAACGCTTTCTGGGAACGGGAATTCTGAAAGACAAGAGAGCCGGGGCTGGGGGCCGATGGCCGGGGGTCCACTCCCCAAGCCCGGAGACCTGCCCCGGGGCTGCAGCCCACACCCAAGCTGTGCGGGGCTCCCGAGAAGAGGATCCCCAGGTTCCCCCGCCGCCTCCTCACAAACCTCACTCCCAAGCTCAGGTTTCCGGGATGGAGTTACTTCACGTCAACTCGCCATCAGCTGTTTCTACTTCCTGTACGCCATCTCTCTCTCTCTCTCTCTCTCTCTCTCTCTCTCTCTCTCTCTCTCTCACACACACACACACACACACACACACACACACACACTTTCTGATGTGTCCCTCTATTTCCCACATATCCACTAGAATCATCTTTTTCATGTGCATTTTGGGCCACAGCCCTCAGTGCTCAGAGATCGCTCCTTTGGCGGGGCTGGGGACGGACCGCGTCAGTCACGTGTGAGATCACCAGCCCTACTATGGCTCTCAAATGATCATTTTCACATGCTGGTCCCCAGAGACTTCCCTGCCGTGAGACTCTGGCTGAGCTGGAGAAGCTTGGTGGCCGGGTGAAGACGCTGCACACAGTAGCCCAGGTGCACCCCAGCACCCCAGCACTTAGCCGGCAGTAGCCCTGATCTCCGCTGGTTGCAGCCCAAAAAGCAATCCAACTTCTCCCAGCTACTCATGCAATCCAGACCAGAGTGTCTGGTCGCCTGGCCGCGTCCCAAGCCAGCCCTCTCAGGCTTCCCGAGCTGTTCTGTCCCAGGCAAGAACGAACGGGCCCATGCGTGCCCTCAATGCCGACATTCAGAAAGCATCACGGCACCCATATCACTTCCTCAGGAGCATCAGGAAGCATCCAGACACCCCACCCAGGGCTGGGCCCTGCTGTCCAGAGCCCCCAGTCCGGCCAGGCCCCCGCACCCCTCCAGACTTGAAGCCTCGTGACAGCGTGAACGCCGCTCACACCTGCTCTCACCGGCCACCCGACCCAGGCCAAGGACAGGTGCAGAAGTGTCAGAACTACTGAGCAAGAGAGTCATCAGTCGGGTGGGGACATGGCCAGCAGGGTATGCGCTCTGCCCTCAGTCACTGCCCTCCTGCCCTCTCATACGGGGCTCTGGGAGGATGCCCAGAATCTGCACCTGGCTCCTCTCTGCCTGAGGCCCCACCTCAGGCTTCTCTTGGCTCCTCCTGCCCCTCAAGCATCAGACCGTTTCTGCCGGAGACGCATGTGGTGAAGCAGCTGTTGAGAAGCACTGGCTCAGCCCAGGAGGATGGGCAGGGACTGGGCAGCCCCCCACCCTGCTGGATCCCGGAACCAGAGCCACTGCATCTGTGCATGGGGGGAATTGGGGGACGGGGCATTCTGCACCCCAACAGCAGCGCCCCTGGGTCTCCTGGGTGATCTTCCAGTGCAACGAAAGCCACCGTTCTTCCTGCGGGCACGTGATCTGGAGTCCACCTCCTCACCACAGAGTCCCCCTGCCCGCGGGACCCTAAGCCCCGCCACCGCCACCCTCCTTCCCAGTGAGCCTAAGTCTGGGCTCGGTCCTGGCTGGAATCCTGTCACGCCCAACCAGAAGGGCTTACACAGAGCGACAGGACAGCGGGTGGGCACTGGCCTTGCACATTCTCAAACCAGGCTCTGTCCCCAGCACCCCACAGAGGCTCCCAGCCCTACCAGGAATGATCCCTGAGCACAGAGCCAGGAGTTAGCCCCAAGCCCAGCCAGGGTTGGCCAAAACAAACAAAAAGGCTGAAGAATGGCCCCCTGACCCCAGGCTTCCAGGACTCCAATGCCAAACTGCAGAGAATGGCCTTGCGGCTTTGTCCGGCCAGTCACTTGGCTGGATCCTGGACCAAAAGCCAAAGCTTCTGTCAGTAGGCTGGAGGGGGGACGAGGGGAGAGACCAAGACTCCCGGGATGCAGAGACTCCTGTGCACTATGCAGGTGCCTCTGCAGGCATTGACGTCACCAGACATCCTGCCTGTCCATGGCCTCTGCTCGCTAGTGAGGCCCCAGTGAGGGTCTGGGTAGGGCCATCTGTCTATCACCTTCGTGCTGCCATGGTTGTTCCTGGACCCTGGAGACTTTCAGTCACAATGTCTGACCCTGCAGGAACACGGAGGTCAGGCTAACTCCCCTTGAGCTGAAACCTGCATGGGGCTCGGGGCCCGGACAGGCGCTGGG